ACAGGCACTTATTTTACAGCACACTGCCTCCTGCTGCCCACACCAGCTAATTATTCAGACCATTCATGCGAGTCATGTATGGCAGAATTGTCTAATTACGAAGTCCCTGTTCCTGTGATAACATTCTCTGCACCAAAACTGATGGAGAGCTGCTTTTACATGGGACATGAGCGTATTAGCCCGTTCTCATCCATGTAAAGAGGGCTATCTACATTTCATCTCCCACAGACTTGGTAATTGTATTGTGGATTCTGCCTTGAATCAGACTGAAAATGAGTTATTTCAACTGAAGTACATAATACGTTCTAGTTAGCATACAATAAGGTATTTCTTATTTTATACATGCAGTCATCATTTTTGCCAACAGCCCTGCACTAAAACTGCAAAAAGCGAGATGCAAGGAAAGTTTGAGGATGACCCGAGGTTTACTACAAATCTGGTAGATTTCACTGCAAATACAGATGCTTTGTCTGGTCCCTCTGCTGTGCCCAGAGCTTTCCACTGGGTTTACCCACAAATATATCATAGAATAGTTTGTGTGGTGACACTGAAGCACACAAACTGCTTGGCCAGGATCCCTTATTGTGCACTGTTACTAGTCTGTTTTGACCATTTTCAAGCAAGCTAGAAATGTTTGCAAAATCCTGGTCAAAAATTGTGAATGAAGAGTGTGTGCTGATTCTAGTGGCCACTGCAGTTTCAAGTACTGCATGACATCACACAGCACTGCCCTCATTACAAACATTTGGCTGCAGGGATGGGGTTTAGGTGTTTACTTTTAGCCATAATATTTTGAATGTAGTTTAAAGCATTGTTTCCCAAAGACTGGGTCGTGACACTTTCGAGGGTCGCAGTAGATTTTTCTGGGGTTACCTTATCACGATCTGCATGTAGATCTGCAATATACAGTTCTGCCTACACGCCTGTTGTGCTCTTCTCCTGCACCCTGGACTGGAACGTGCTACAAAAACACAAACTGGTCCACCTATCTCATTAGAAATGTTGAAATGTTAAGACATGTTTTGTATAATTTCTAATCTTTTTGTACCTTAAAGATTTTATTGACTATTTTGTTCCAATATTGCTGGTTCAGTTGAATGAAAAGAAAAAGAAACGGGCTACATTTAATGTCCAAATAGGCGACTTATGGATACCTTTTATTGCTGGTTCAATTACTGTTTTTCATTGTTTAAAACTGGAGTAATGTTAATTGTTCAGAGAAACGATGTCAACAATAAAATATCCTCATTAATGTTCAATAATGGTCAAATCCACCTTTATTTTGTGTTTTATGAATAATGTCTATAGACCTGGGTCGTGAAGGTTTGAGACTTTTAAAATATGGGTCCCCCTGGTTTAAAGGGCCCATATTACACTATTTTCTGATCTATATTAATGTTGTTTCCTCATTAAAGACATACCTGAAGTTGTGTTTAGTTTCATTCACACATGTTTAAGACACAAAGGGTTACTCATGTGTAAAAAGAAAAAAAAACAAAAACTCCACCTTTGTTTTTGATGAGGTAACAACATTATAACATGGCTTAAAATTCAAATCAAAGAGTCAAATTTGCATAATATAGGAGCTTTAACAGTTAGACCGGGTTAGACTGACTGAAAAAAGGCTGCCAATCTGCATCATTGGCTCTTTCAACAACCATTACTTACACATTACATCCATAAGAAGGAAAACTGGGTGAAGCGTGTTGCCCTAAAACACAACAACAGTACAGACTGGAGCATAATTCAATTTTCAAGTTAGTGAACAAGCACTCTATCCACTAAGCTACTGCTGTCCCAAACTTGTGTCCATATGAACAGTTCCCACATGATGATTGGTTGATTGGCCCTGACTGCACCACAGAGAAACCAGCGCATCCACACACAATAATAACTGTTTTTTAGGGGGAGATAGATCCAGGGTTCAGCCAATTCTCTCTCTCTCAAAGTTCAATCGAGGCGAGGATCAAACAAAAGCAGTTATTCCGTGTTTAAACATTTGTGCCGAGGACTTCCAGAGCACAGTGCACAACCAGGTGACGTCTAATGGGAGAAGGATCAGAGGTGTAAGGCTGTAGCTCTGGCTCCTAATGGCCACTGTTTCATTACCGTGGGGCAGGACCAGCAGATGGAGCCCAGTGTGTTTTGAAGCAGGCAGATGTTGAGCTGGAGAGAGACCAGGGCACAGGCTGGGTCAGTGGTTGCAGAGCGCCAGGAAAGTGCTTTCAAAAGAGCTCATTTCAAACCTGTGGCTCTCACGGCACCTCATTTTGTAAACAACATATTTATTCCAACGCCAGCCAGAAAAGGACAGGCCTGGCGGAGAACTCTAGAAAGAGCTCAGAGCTGGAAGTTGGACAATATTGTAAATTACTGCAAGAAATACATACATGTAGATGTTATGTTAGATTATAAGTGCAGTTTACATGTAGTAGAAGAATCAGATGTTTGAAACTGGAATAGAAATAAAAGAAACAAGAGAAAACCTAACAACAAAAGAAGAAGAAGAAAGGAAAAAACAAACAAAAAACAAAACATTATTTATTCCAAAATGAAGTGTTACATGCACTTTATTTGGTATTCACCATTATTGTTGTCCTATTTGCAATTAGAAATATGAGAAATGTTTGGCAAGCACAACAAAGTGGATCAGGCCTTCAGTTTTGGCGTGGCTACAGAACAGAGGTATTTTTGATTGGCACACATCGCACTTTTCAAAACTTTACTGAGTTGGACACTGTTCCCATTGGTAATCACTAAAGTGTCCCTTCTTGTTTTGCTTTGCCAAATTATTTGCATTTAGTCACCGTTTTCCTCCATTTGGATTTCAGTGGAAGCTTTAATATGCATTAGTGTACAAGGGATTCAAATGTATACAGGACTTTTGAAGGCTTTTAGGGAATTATTTTTGGCATGGTTGACAAGGAGACTGACGTTAGTTCAACGTCAGGCATCAGCCCATTTTTATGTTTTGTTTGACCACAAAATGGATTTGATCCAAATGTATTGGATACATCAGCCTGGATTACTTGAGAAACTTTGGATCTTAGGGCTTTTGTTTAAACACATGAGATTATGTTTTGTGTGCACCTTGTGCAAATTAAAAATGAAATACTTTTTAGTAGCCCCAAATTACTTTTATTGTTAAAATCTTTCAAAGACATAAAGTATAATGCTTGGTAAATGATGGTAATGAATAGCTCTTTGGTCTGGATTTGTTGATTAATGTTTGCAGTGCATAAAAGGTGTGCCTGTCCTTCACAAATCAGCACTGAGTAAAGGACCAGTTACAGCTGGAGTTTGTATGAAAGTGGGGCATTCATACAAAAATATAATTACATGAACAAAGCACTGACATGATATGTGATAGTAACAGTGAAGATCCCTGAAACATAAATAGACATGTACAGTCGTTGGTAATGACACCCTTTATTAATCTCGTCAAAGGTCATATGACTCTGTCCATGTTGTGTTTAGAAGTAAGAGAAGCTTTTCTTCTCCCTGTGTGTAGTAGTAGTATATAATATAACAGTAGCATTTTACTGACATGCAGCAGTACAGTCTAATCTACTAAATTTGCTAGACTTTTTGAAAAATGTAAATATAATTAGAGCATGATGGAGGTTAAGCTACGTGGTAACTAATAACATGGCAGCTTTTCAGGAAAAAAAACAAACAAAACAAAAACATACATATCAAACTTAAAATTGGACCAAATGTTTGAATAACCTTATAGTTTATTAAGTTTAGAAAGGACCGACATTAATAAAATTATAGGTTTTGTGGCCAATTAACCCTAAACAAGCTTTCAAACTTTTAATTTTAGGAGAAAAAATGTATTGAAAATTTACATCCAAACCCATGATCTTTGTGCAAAATATAGAAAAAATACTTGCGAGGTGCTTTAGAGCCACTGTATACTTGTGTAACCACTCAGTCTGACCACATCAGACTTCTCCTCTGCAGAAAGAGACTGAGTTATGCACTTGTAGGTTGACCACCAAACAAGCCTTCAGTTCCTCTCTGCTCATGTCTTCCTGGTTCATTCCGGCAGCTAACCAAGGGCCAGTTGTACCACATTGGTTACAGTCACATTCACTCAGCTCACACCTGTTTACAGTCCTTTACACGTTACACATTGAGGCTGGTACAAATTGACCTTATAGCACTTGACCACTATAGGTAACTTTCTCTGGCCACACGTCTGTATTTTGCAGGTCCAGTGAGCTGGATGTGGCACCTGGTTTATCCAAAGACACCACCTGACTGAATGTGTGGGTCTGGTAGAGTGAAGGTGAACCTCATTTGGCACAATGCAAACAATTATAGTCTTCCCCTTTGGACGGGGATATAATGTACTCCATTTAAGCTAATAGGCAAGTGGAAGAGGGCCAACACAAGAAAAGTGTTCAATAACTCAGGGGAGCTTTGTTGGCCTTATTGGCGCCACTAATAGGCCAAATTAAATATTACAATTCTACACGTTCAATAATAGTTGTATAAGCTTTGACTTACCTGGCCCAGAAGCACTTCATTAGCCGGTGTGAATGATTTTGAAAAAAATATGTTTTCAAGCACACGTCTCACAGCATTTTTTATTCAACTTTTTATTTTTCATATGAAACAAAGCAATTTTTCCAATGTCTTTGAAGTGTGAAATGTCTTTTATCATGATTCTCACAGTACATTCATTTAATGTTGATCTAAAAGAAAACAGCTTTGAACTTGGCACTTAGAAAACAACCACAAAGAATTGTCACCTTTATTCATTTAGAACAAAATTTACAAACCCATTCAGTCATTTTTTTCAAACTTTTGTGTTTTTTAAACTCAACGTTTGAGAATATTCAAAATACACTTTTAATGTTGCTTCTCTCTCTCTTTGTACTTACAAATATGTACATGAAAGTCAGAGTGTGTCCGCTGACCTGTGTCATAATAAAAATCCTCTGTATTTATACTCTGCACACGTCACTGAGCTCAGTCTGTCAGGGTCCTGCTCAGATGGACGTGCCGTGGCTGGGCTCGCTGGCCTCGGGGATGGCGCCCCCTGGCACTGGCTGGTATGACATTGGCATGGGTGTCTTGAGGGGACTCTGCCTGAAGAGCCCCCCGTTGGGGGCCCTGTGTTTGCAGCGGATGGAGGGCATGGTGGCGCTGCTGAGGGGCAGTGGTAGGGTCCTGCCCCCTACCGCGCCCAGTGTCCGGCCTGGCCCGTGGCTCTCCTGCAGGAAGGAGGTGACCGACAGGGGCCCCCCGCGGTGGGGCGGGTAGTCCCGCGCTGACAGGGCCTCCAGAGACTGACTGGGCTGCATGCTGCCAATGTCCAGAGCAGAGATCTCAATCGACTGTCCCGGGAGCTGCTTATGGGCCAGGTCATCATCCAGCAGGCTGTTGAGGCGCTGGTGCACCTGCTCCAGGTTCACCTCTTTGTCCTGAGAGCCACAGTCGGCCAGAGGAGAGGGGAGGGGAGGAGAGGGGGAGAATGACAGAGCGTGGGGGTGGGGGTTGTTTAGAATGAAGAGCACATGAGAAGCAAAAATAGGTTGGGAAGGGGAGAGACAAAAAATAGTTAGACTTTTGTCACAATCTGCTACATGAATAATGCAACAAAACATGAACTTTTAGACTTTGCATCTATGCAATAAAGCAACCATAAACTATAGTATTTCTGTTTGGCTCTAACACATACTCAACAATTACTGATGTACATGGTGACAACCACATGATGGCTAGTCACAAATGTGTTATGACAGTTTGGTGTAATTAGTGTTTATCACTTGCATTTTGATGAAATAAGACAATTAACAACATGGAAACATTATGTTCTGATTGGTATGAGAATATTCAGCTGTACTGTATGCGTAAATGTAAGGGTCTGTTTACAGAATAATGACCATGCTCTCTATATTATCTTATTACAATGAAAGACAACGTAAAGTGTGTAACAGGTGTCATTGTGCTAAGGGAGGAGCAGTCAAAGCAAAGAGGATAGGCCTGCTTACACTTTGACTGCTCCTTGACCTCCACAGATACATGCACAGTAAACAGGAGAGACCATGGGGTGACAGGACATACAGTCATACAGCGCATGAGGTAACCCTGCCAAGACCCATGCTCCGCCTCCTGGCCCTGACGCAGCCAATGAGCATCCAGCACAGAAGACCAGTGTCAAGAGCCTCATCCTAGTCTCTTGTTATTATATGCCAATGCACTTAGTGAGTTTTTCATCCATTGACATATAAATGTATTCTATCAGGGAAACAGATGGGGAGGCCTCAAGTGGGGTTTTTACTTAAGTGCTCTCACAACACTCTGAAAATACTACCATCACATACTATTAACATACTATAGTACTAGTCCTCCTAGTCAAGTAAATGTACTAATGTAAATGCTGTTACCTATAGGGCTGCAAAGTGCTGCCTATTATTACATAAAATGTTTGCCATGGTTGAAAACAGAGAATTATCACACCAACTTGCTGCAAATGCACTATATAAAGGGGTTTTAATACTGCACCAATCTTCATTTATGTTGATAGATATTAATCATATAAAAAAACAACAAATCATCCTAAAATAAATCAACCTAAATAAAGTACATTTTCTCCACACAGTATTATGACAGTTGTATGTGGAAGTTATGAGAGCACCAAGACAGGGCAGTAAGTCAGAGTACCAACAGCATGGATACATGTGAGTTACTGGTTTCAAAGGGGAGGGGGTCTATCTGGGTAGGAGTAGTAGTAGTTTGGTTATTGGTCATGCGGCTCTATGCTTAATAATGCAGCATGTGCTTTGCTCACACTTTAGTTTAGGGATCCATGTCAAGCCTTGTTGTCTGGACGCCCGTCTGGTGAAGAGGGGCTGCCCAGTCAACAGCAGCAGGATGCACTTGGAGCTCTAAAGTGTTAAGACTTGAATGGATTAGCTAAAGAGTGCTATTGTACAACTGAAGTACTCATTGACCCAGAAGTACAATTTCAGCTTTTGGTATTATTTTTAAGAGTGTGTTTCCCACTGTGATTAACCTGTGTCTGTGTGTATATGTGTGTGTGGGTGTGTGTGTATGTGTATGTGTATGAGAGAGTGCATGAGAGTCCCTAGGAGCACCCCATCTCTCTCCCACATGAGCAGAATGATCACATGATGTCTGCTATGGCTCAGAGGCACACCTATAACTGCGTGTACTGCAGCTCTACTAAATCGGGGCTGGCGTCAGCGCCTGCTGGATCCATAAAGTAGAGTGTGGCAGTGGCATCTCTGGGCAGCACCGGGGGGCCCAGGGGGCCCGGGGGGCGGGGCCTGGAGCGCGGCCTGGGAGGGGCGGGGGGAGCGGGCGTGCTGCTCTGGGTTAGGAGGCTGGGGCTCGGGCCCTGGCCGGTGGAGTCAGCGGTCACCTCTTTGGGCTGCTCTCTCCTGCACTGGTTACTGTTCCACCATGTCTCCAGAGCAGCTACAAGCAGCGCTAGGAGCAGGCCCGCCGCCAGGATGCAGAAGACCCCCGCGAAGCTGTGCAGGCGTAAGGCCCGCCCCTCCGGCTGGGCGTCCGCGTGGCTCTGCAGGTCACAGCGGCCCTTCTTAGGCCACCACTTCTGCTTCAGGATGTCCAAGTCTCCCTTCTCCTGGAGCTCCAGGATCCTGCACACACAAGCATGCCATTTTATAAGCACATTCAATGACACAATGCTTGTTTTGTTACAATGCTGTGTTAATTTGTAGCTCATAACTCAAACAGTGACTGGTAAATGCTGTTAACTGCTTAAGCTGCTAAATCAACCATTATAGTACTTGTGTTTAAATAGTATTAATATGAGCTACAAGAGTAATCGCTTCAGTATATAAGGCTGGAAAGCCAAAAGATCAAATTTTGTGGCAAGGCCATTAGTTAGAGTACAGAAGCGACAGAGGGATGACAGCCTCCAACAAACACTGTCCAGACACTCCATCTGTCCCATTGGACCTATGAGCTCTGAGCCAGGCCATTACTCAGCACTGGGGGAGACTGACTGGAGCCATTTGTATTGTTGAACCTGCCTGTATTTGTATCAAGGTAAGCAAGGGACTGTGGTCTACAAGATGCTCTATAATTTAACCAAGCAATTAATATTATTATTTCTTCTGTTCAGACATTCATCCTAACCTCCAACTACACAAATCAGTGGGGTTACACTTTGGACAATTATCATTTTCAGTTAATAATGATAGCAATATGTTAGTCTTGTCCAAAGTTCTTGTCTTGTCTTGTCCTTAGTATTTTGCACAGTCTTCATTTACCCCATACTCAGCAGTGGCAAGCCACTATTGCTGCCGCAGCTGCCCCTGTGTGGACTGATGGCCCCTCAAACTACCACCAATCACTCATTTACACACTAGATCCATACACAGGCAAGTTAGGTAACATTTCTTGCCCAAGGACACAACAACAGTTTGCACTTGCTCAGAGGCTGTAGTGCTATCTATTTTGTTTGAAAACTAATAAACAGCTGCAAATCTTTCTCGCTTTGCTTCACCTCCACCTTCAAGGTACCAACTCAATTCTTTACCAATTCTTGTTGCAACAAAAATAAATCAATAACTTTGTTTTGCAGCTTCTTTTAGAAGGCCCATATTTTGAAAGACCAAACTGAAAGCATGAATGACCATCAGACCACTGAACCCGTACTTTTGAGAGAAGAGGTCTCGATAGGGGCTGCCGTGCTGAAGGGCCATGCCATAGCCTCTGGTGCTCATGCTGTTCCCTGCTATGGTTAAGGTGCAGTCATCGTCTGTCAGCGCTGCATACTCCACCACCGCCATGTCCCACAGAAACGCATAGGACTCTCTCTTCACCTGGACAACACAGTTACAGAAAAACACTTAGATGAAACAAACAATGTTTAAAGGTATAATACAGATCTTAAAGAACACATATAAAGAACACAAATGATGCCTTCTTGTGGTTTTATTTCCCTTTTAAAAATGATTTTGGTCACCCTGGGATTTTTAGGCTATTTCAACTTCGCATGTATCCTTTAAAGGGCCTATATTAAGCTACTTTCTTATTTTGTTTTCTCTTCAAAAACATACCCAAAGATGTGTTTTGGTTCCTTCACACATGTTTAATACACAATCCGGCATTATTATGTTGAGTTCTTGTGTATTTTTACCTTGTGATGTCATATGGCAAAACAGGAAGTCTCCACTGTGTTTTTAAACTCCATACACCTTCACCAGAATCATCTGGATAATTTCAGCCATAGAATTTACAATTTAGTACTTCGTGACATTACAAAGTGGAACAGAGCATTTTGAGGTTTGAAGATATAGACTGACTAATAATAAAGGATTACTCAAACATATGAATGAAACAAAACACAACTCCGGGTATGTTTTTGATGAGGTAACAACATTGTAACATGGCTTAAAGCTCCATTTTGTATAATGTACTTTTAAGCATGAAACTACAGAGGCAAAAATAAATAGTAGAAAAGGGTCTTGTGAGGATAAGCTACCATTTTCAAAATAAAACCACGTCTACAGTATAGCTCACACGGCTATGTTACAAAACAGCAAGAAGTGCAATAGGGTCAAAGGAACAAGCCCGACAATGATGGCTCGTTCCTGGAAGTGAATTGCAGACGATGTCATATATGAAACTTCACATTAGAAAGACAGGCATCCATAAAGGCATACATGAGACAGCTGGGATTCTGTATTGGCTGGTGAGTTACTCCCCTTATTATCATATAAATGCAATGTTTACAGTTGCATTTACTGTATGTGTGGCTGTTATCTGTGACCCTGGTGAACATGTGGCTTTGTGGGTAGTTTACACAGCTTTATATTTGGACATGTGCTGCATATATACATGGTAAGAAGGGCAAGTAAAGCACACAAACCACCTTCAGTATATCAGGGGTATATGCAATTACTCTACTGGTAACTAACTTGTGTTCTGACAGCGGCGAACATATTTTTAAAAGAAATGTGTAGGAGTGTAGAAGAAGTGAATGCTAGCCAAAGACCAAAAGCTGGCATATCGTGGGTGCTTATAAACACACGTGACCTTATTTCAGGTTAGAAAAGTTGAGATGCATCTTTATTAAGTCAGTTTGAGCACTTAAAATGAGTCTGGTCTAAGTGTATTGATTTGAAATACCCAGAGGACTGCCTGGGTTAGCACCTAATTACATCACAAGGTAGAACAAACCATTGTGAGCTTTGGAGAGGTAGAGGGACTAAAATGCAAGGTCACGAAACATGCAAGAATGAAGTTAAACATTACTCAAGGTAGGGTTTGTTTTGACAATAACAAATTACTTTAGGTGATGTCTTAGTTCTTTTACTATTTTTTATGTGAAATAATTCTTTTTAGTTTTAGTCTAATTTTAGCTGAAGAAAATGACTCTAATGTAGAGTGACGCTAATCTAGTCAACCAGAAAGTTTATTTGTCATTTCAAATTGCATTGCTTTATTGGACATGCTTCTTGAACAATGAGTTTGTTAATCATCGGGTTTGGGTTCTGGGATTGAAAAGTGGATCTTGAGTCTCCACTTGTTCCTTTCTTTCATGTATGTGTAGTTTTTTAATATTCCATGAAAATATCACTCCTTTTAATCAACAAAAATTTCAACTTTTAGTCACACTTTTAGACATTTACTTTTTTTGTTTTTGTTAAATTCCTGTCATTAAAAAATCGACAAAACAAAATTAACACTAACTTGAGGTCATAGGCTGTATAAAGAAGTGGACTAAGGGAATCTGACATCTCCCATAGTGGTCAGCTCCAGCCAAATTAAGCCTGTCGAGGCTTGCAGTTATGGGACGAATTTGGAGCCCCTGTAACTGCTAGCCTTCTCATGCTCACTTCCTATTTGAAATGTGGCGGCTAGCAGGTTAACTATGTCCATGTATATATACAGTCTATTCTCAAGTTATGTTTTTAGTAAAGAAAAAATATCAGAGCAAACCGTACCATACCATAACATATACACCCTTCATCTCATACTAATTGCTTTGTATTTGTTTACTGCGCACAAACAGTTGGAGACACACTAATCATTCTTTTCTTTTGTGACTCAGTGTGTGAATGACGCCACAAGTCCGGTCCGTTGTCACTTTTAAAGCTTAATAGGCCCCCTGTGGCTGATGGCAGCACTGCACGGGCCCATGGGGGAGAGTAATGGTCAGATGATTCACATTGAGCAGCAGAATCTCAGCAGTGGGTGAGTACTTGTGAGAAGCGCTCAGCCCACAGTAACACAGCACTGACTCATGTGGCTGCTCTCACTGTACCTGTCCCATGAGAGAGAGGAGGATGGCCAAAATAGACAGGGCTTTTTATGGCTGAGTAATGACTGCTCCTCCTCCTCATTATGGGATCAATATTTGAGAAAGAGGGGAGTAAATATTTATGGTATTTTAAAGGATAAAATGCACCAGACATGGAGGCTATGGGGGTGTTGGTTGCTTGGTTTTTTGTTGGTGTATAGTCCTAAAAAAATGTGTGACTTATGCAAAAAAAAAAAAAAAAAAAAAAAAGTAAAAAATATATAATGCCTTCTCTACAAATCAAACAATTTTAGTATGGACTGCATACCTTTCCATAATACAGCCAGAGCATTCCAGTCACAACAGTTGAATAATTAACTAAAAGCTAATTCTAATTCTATTTTTCTTTATGGAAATAGCATTTGTCTGTCATCTCAACTATTTCTGGTTGGATTCCATCCATAGGTCTTTGTAATTGTTGACATCAGCTAATACCTTGGTGGAGATCAGTTTGAAATGTGTGCATTCTCAAGTTGTGTTTTTGTATTACTGCTACTTTGAATCCTTTTGTGAATGACTTGCCTTGTTTACCCTATTATGAGAAAGCTAATGCAAAATAAGCCTAATGCATTTAGTCATTCATCAATTCTATGCGGCTGTAAGACCTATGTATGATGCACAGGCGAGGATTTATAACAAAAAGCACTTTATGGAAAGAGGGTCTTGCATTAGAATGGAGTCCTTTAATATAAAGGACAGGGAATGAAATGGAAATGGCATATTCCATGTGCAGCTTCCATTTACAACATTAGAGATGTTCCTGAAAATCACACGTTCTGCATTAAGACTGCAGGGGCATGTAGTGCAATTTTCACAGGATAATGCCATAAAACTGCACATATCACTTTTTCATTTAATACTGATTTTATATTTTTCCCATTTTCATAATTTCAAGCATAATATTTACTTGCCTAACTTTAACTTTTGTTTGCTTACTGAAATGTGCTTGCAGTGTCCCATTCAACAACCTCGGATACTTGCACCACACTATTCACTAGCCCTCAACCAACCATCACAACACTTAGAAGGGAAATGAAGTGTTTGTGTAGTGCACTCTGGGGCAGTGTTGTTTGTAAGTGTGCTTTATAAATAAACTTGACATTGACCTTCCACTTTAAATAGAACATTTTGTGCCTAAGGTAAGGCTTTTCATTTATTCTTGTGGTTGTTTGTCAGTGACAGCTGGTCCAAATGCATTCCCATGGTTCTTTTGAAATATTTTGTTAAATTTTTTGCTTTGATTTTAGCAAACCGTTGCCTCATACTTGAATCACCTCATGAACAGAATTTTCAAAAGGGAACAAGCAAAGTGCATTAATGTCCTGATTAAATGCTTTCATAAAAGGAGTCCATTGTAGCACTGACAGTCAGAGCACTGACCTTCTTGATGCCCTCCATGGGGCTGCTGACAGAGTTGTCATGACCGTTGTTCTTGTTGATGATCTTCCACAGCTCGGCGAACGTGTTGTCCTGCTCCAGAGGGTTTGTACCTTTGGCCCGAAAATATTCATACACCGCTGAGTCCCTCACTGTCCCGTACATCAGGTCCGACTGCTTTGAGAGGTCAGCGAAGGACCTGCCAAAATCATAAACGCAAGGTCAAAGCTGTACCAGCTTACAAGTTAGTTTAAAACACATCTCATTTTTTAAATTTTATTTCAAAACCCGTGCCACTATGATGCAAGACTTCAGAAAATAAGAACATTTTCACTGCAGTTACTTCAATTGCAGCATCAACTGACCAGACCACATCTTGGCAATTTAAGCAAAGATTTACTTGTAAGAAATTTCTCCTGCAATGTTAATACATCTTTGCTAATTATGACCTGAGGCAGTACACCATGAGTCATTACCAAACACAGCAGCATCCATTCAGCATCATCATTAACACAGACACTTAGTTTTACGTTTTCTTGGACAATGAAAGTATGACATAATCTGGGTTGAAGCACCATGTGAGTAGTGGTGTAGTGGGCTAAGACTTTGCCTGTGAACTGGAAGGTAGTCTGTTCAGTTTTGCCAAAGCACATACTGTTGGTGTTTCAGGTCCAAAAAATTTGGAACGTAACAAACTAAAAGTAATAAAGTAAAGAAGAAGTAAATATTTTAGGCATCTGTTGGTATTTACTTTTACTTCACTTCATTTGAGAGCATTGTAATTTCAACTTCAAGTAGAAAAAAATATGAATTCAATTGTTTCTACTGAACAAATTAAATCACAAATCTTTATCTTGATCTTAAAATCTGCATGAAATACTTTTACTTTTTACTCATACATTTTTAATCAGGTACTTTTACTTGAGCAGATTTTTCATGTGATACTTTTATAATTACATTTACTTGAGTATTTTTTGGCTCAGTGTATCTGTAATTTAACTTAACGAACAAAGTCTTCCACCGCTGCTCAAAAGGACCAATCAGAGTAAAAAATATGCAAAAAACACAGTCACATAGCTCGGATTTGCAACATGACAGCTTCATATTAGCGACTCACACTTAAAAATGAAGTGCTTTTCTCACATGCAAAGAGCGGGGGATATTATAAGCCCCATAAACTCCTCTTGTACAACACTTGTGGAGCTGTTCATTCTGGTCACGCCTCATAGCTTATCATTTTACGGCTTCAAATTCTTGATCAAACTTCCCCTTATTCAGCGCCAATCCCAGCTCTCTGCTTATTGCACTTCACCATCCAAATGAAGTTTTAGCCTAGGGGTGTCCAAACTTTTTTCATTTCTTTTTTCACTACAGCTGCATATTGAAACATATTAGAAGCGGATGGCCAATACTGATGGTCAATACAGTGGATCATTCAGATGGGGGCATTTCCTATTGTTTTGACAGCACCGCCATGCCATTAATAAAGCTTAGAGCATTAATTTGAAGTCTCTATCACAATTCAGTGTGATGTTATTGAGGTTATGGTGGTAGAATTATAAAGGTGCACTGTGTAACTTTTTGGTTTGAGGTCCTTCGCCTGCTTGTGTCCATGGAGATGTCATTGTTCTGCCTGGAATGTTCCACAGACCAACATTGAACACCTCTGCAGTACATTTACTCAATTGCAGGTGGTTTTATAGCAAAAAAAATGACATTTTGACTGTGAGCGGGGTTCCTTCTCCACTGACCTAATCTGTACCATGTTCTGGTTTGGTCTCTTTGAGTCAGATTTGAGTCACTATTTTTAGGACTTGAGACTTAACTTGATAAAATGGACTAGGACTTGGGACTTGGCTTGGACTTGAAGGTCATTGACTTGAGACTTGACTCGGACTTGAGGCCTGTGCCTTGAGAAGACATGAGAAGCACTTTTAAATCTGAATTCCTTCTATTCTGAACATAATGATTCACACTAAGATCTTGTCAAGACATTTAAAAAGGTAAAATTAACAAAATTAATTTCTACAACTCATCTATACTCTATAAATACTCAAATATAAATATACTATAATTTTTTAAAGTATAATTTATCTTAGAATTCATATAAATTGCAAAAATCTAACTCTATATGTGGTACTTCGATTTAAAGACTTAAAATGGCTTGAAGCTCAAAGCAGATGACTTGGACTTGACTTGAACTTATGGGTTGGACTTGACTGTATTTGACTTGGGACTTGACTCGGACTTGAGGTAAAAGACTTTAGACTTACTTGAGACTTGCAAAACAAAGACTTGGTCCCACCCCTACCATGAATATAGAAAGGTTCAATACCATACTCTGAGACATTCCAGATAAAGAAATAACGTCTCCATGAAGAAAAGGCTTTTGAGGGAAAAGTTAGACAATGTACCTTTAAATTTGATGAATAACTAAAACTTGTATTTGATCAGTTGCACCCCTGTTTTAGACTATCACTACTGTATATAAGCACAGAGGCCAGCAAAATGGTACCACGCATCTACGATATAAAAACCCATCAACAACATCATGAGCCTAAAATCTCTCAAATGCTTGTATCTGATTGTCTCCTTTCAGAAATGATGCTTTGGTTTGGAAAAGAAGTCCGCCATTGTAACAAATGGACTTGTTGTTGCAGGTGTTGCGTGGGCAGCCGAGACCCCAGCTGTATCTTACACATAAGAGATGATTGCCAATTTTGCACTGCAGCATATTCGCTCAAACCCAAATGTCATTATAATTAGACTTTGCTTCCCAGTGTAATACAAACGATAATCTAGCCACGGAGATTATCTGGCAACGCAGCGGACTTGGGACAGTGTAGATTGGGTAGGTGGGGGTGGTGGGGGTGGTGGGGGTACAGGGGGTGGGTGGGGATTGGAGGGTGGGTGGGGGGGTACGTTGGGTGTCTGTGTTTATGCGGCATAGAATGTCTTGTGTCTGCATTTTGCTAAAAAGCTGGAGTATTGAATAGCTTATCTGCAGGTGATAATGTCAGGCTAATTCAAGCATATAATTAAAAGTGTACAAGTGTGGAGGGGCAAAAATGTGTGTAAGAAAAGCGCGCAATGTTTTGAGGTTTCAGGGGTGAGGATTCGTTACACAAGATTGTAACCTTATCCTTAAAAACAACAAAATTATGCTATGCTATTTGTGTGAGGTAAAAGATTATGCAAGCTGTATTTAACAACAGTTTCATAATTTCAAGAATTAATAACATTCTATTTTTAACACATCTCAGTAACATGGCTGTTCCTCAAATACTGTACTTCTGAGATATACCATTACACCAGTACAGATGTATTGTAAAAGCAGCCCTGGAGGTAAAAAGTAGACTAAATAGGCAATTAAAAATAGAGCGTTTTATCTTCTGAGAAACAGGAAGTAATGAAGATTGGCCAATTATGTCTATCTGAACTCCACTACTCATCTTTATACAGTATTAGAAATGTGTATTCTGGCTCTCAGGCAAGGTCAGATTCAAACCCCATGTTGTTTTTTGTGTTTCACTTGTGAAATAACTTCTGGTAAGTTTTCTAAATGTATTCATTAACCCAGTAATGTTCATTTTGTCTTCTTATATACTTTAACTTCTTGGGTTCTTTTTAAAGACAATGCAGTAAAGTGTATTTACCTTGTTGACATGTTTCGGCTGCTAGTTGCAAGCCATCTTCAGAACTGTCACCAGTGTTGGTGACAGTTCCTGTAGGTGTGGTCATTGGATCAGAAAACAACAAGTTCAATCGCTGGATCAAGGAGGCCATTGAAATCAGGAAACGAGGCACGGACAGCATTAACCGTGATGATGGCGCGTTCCTCCTTTCACACACCTGGGACACCCTCCACCAGAGAACATCGGGCGACAGGAGGCGTGGTCAGTCTGAGTGACCTGCCAGGTCCATCAGGCTGACCACGCCTACAGGAAGTAACAACAGCTGATATACGACACGTCACCACCAACACCGGTGACAGTTCTGAAGATGGCTTGCAGCTATCAGCCGAAACATGTCAACAAGGTAAATACACTTTACTGCATTGTCTTTAACAAGAACCCAAGAAGTTAAAGTATTCATTAACCCTACAGTACCTCCACACCAACTAAAACCATCATCAACCAGTGGCACTGAAGACGGTCGAAAATAGAGGTCTGTGCGGGACTGAAATTTTAAGTTACTTTCGAACCCGCACCTGCAAAGAACTGTAATTTTTATTCCTGCACCCACCCACATCTGGGATATTTTTTCTCGTTCCCACCCGCAAATCCCGCAAGATGGGGATGTTCACTTTCTTAAACTGTATCAAACACAGAGAAACAGAAAGGAATTGTCTAAAATGTGCATGAGATTAGACCACGTCCGCAGATTTAGGCTGCTTAAAATGATTTTATTAATGCCCAAAAAAATATCCAGGACAAATGATGTATGTATGATAGGCATACATGAATCATTTGTATATTTTACTTTATATATTTAGTTTGCGAGACTGCAGTTTATCATCCCACCTGTCCACTTCCACATTGTGCAGTCCCTCACCTGCCCGCGCCCACAATGAGCTTTGAAAATGTGTCCCGCGCCGCTTGTTTTGCGTCGAGACCCACTTGTACGCAGGGCTCTAGTCTAAAACTTCATGCAAAAAGAATCAGTCCAGAGTGTTTAACCAGGAGTATATCAATAAAAGACTCTACACCATAGACTGTATAAAGAAGGAGACTAAGGGAGTCTTTGGCTCCAGTCAAATGAAGCTTACTGAGGCTGGAAGTTACAGGGGCAAATTTTGAGGCAATTCCATATAGGAGGAGTTGATTTACAGACAAAAAGCCAAATAAAAACACCAGGGTCATGTAGAGCTGGTTTACATGAGCATTTTAAGACCAAAATGATGAGTCTGACAGCAGCAGTTACTCTAACTCTCTTTTTGCTCTATACAGAACATAAAGGGCATGTGTTAAATGTATTTTTAATTTTATTTTTTTTTTTTTTTTTTGTCAAATAGAAAACACTTCAGTCAATCAGGAAATCAATCATCAAAGAGGGGACAAAAGCACAATCTCCTCTATCTAACCTTCCTTCAGGACATCCCCTTTAAAAAAAAGTCTTATATCCTTCTTTGTCAGCCTTAAGTACTATTTGCTACTACTACTACTACTACTACTACTACTACTACTACTACTACTACTA